AGAGCTTGTGATGCGATAGGAAGCTTACTGAGTGCACTTTGGTCGTGTCAACTAGAATTACATGGAGTAAAGAAATGCAGTGGTGTTGGCAGTAGAAACAGCCGCAAACAGGCAGAGCAGAGACACACCAACACAACTGTCACACAGCTATAACAATATTCTCTGATTTACCAGGAAGCCAAGATGACGGAGATGGACCTCATCAACATCCTGGACAATTTAAAAGATGACGAATTTGAAAACTTCAAGTGGTACCTGAAGAATGAAAAGGTGGACAACATCCAGCCCATCAAAGTGCACCAGCTGTCGAAGGCAGAGAGGCGGGACGCAGTGGATCTGATGGTGCAGAAATATGAGTTTGATGGAGCTGTGGAGGTGATGAGGAGCATTTTAAAAAAGATCAGCAGGAATGATCTGGTGAAGACATTACCGAAGACGGACTCAGGAGCAGGTCAGTCACAGGAAGAGAAACACACGACGTCTTTCTGTCACGTCTTATCAGTTTGTTTCAGCCTGTCCTGCCTCCACACTGCAGATCTGTGAACTCTGTTTACTGATCACTCTTTACGCTTCAGGATTTGGATTCAGACATTACTGAGTCCTGCTTCAGTAAAGTCGCATTTCCAAATGATTGTTGCTCACAAATTAACTACTAGCACATTGCAACCTTTAATGAAGAGAGGGGTCAGTTAGAAAAGCTGCTTTTGTTATTCTTGCTCAACTGTCTCACACACAAAGACTCAGCACTTGAAGATGTGCAGGTGTTTTACACACTGAAGTTTAAACTGCATCCACAGAGCAGCCTCAAAAGATTATTTTCATTATTACTTAATCTGCTGAATATTTCCTCAATGAATTGATGAACTGTTTAGTCTATAAATGTCAAAAGAGTAAAAAGAAAAACGCCCATCCCAGTTCCCAAGGCGACGTCGTCGATGTTTTTTTTGTTTGACCAACAATCAAAACCCAAATATTAATTTTACTTTCATGTAAAAGGGAGAAAATCTGAGTTTTTACACTCCAGAAACTGTAATCAGGTCATGTTTGCCCTATTTGATTAAAAATATCTGTAATCAATTATTGATTTATCAAAACACCTTCAGATGAATTTTATGATGAACTGTAATTTTTTAAGGGCACATCCTACATTACTGTGAGTCTTGGAGTAATCCGTTATGAGCTCTCTGTCTAAAGTTACAGCTGGTTATTGAACATGTGTTCTTGTCTTATTCATCTTCCAGGTCCTGGTCCAGCAGGAACCTCGAGTGTCCCAGAAGAGAATTCGGGTGTCAAAAAGCTGATGTCTATTAGGACAGAGTTTATCGACAGAGTGTCTGACCCTGTTCTACGCAAGCTGCTGGATCAGCTCCTGCAGCGTGGTGTGATCACCGATGATGAGATGGAGTGTTTCCGAACATCAAACAGGGCAGAAAATGCACGAAAGGTGATCGACGCGGTGCGAAAAAAAGGATCTGCAGCCAGTTCAGCTCTGATCGCTGCTCTCTGTGACGTGGATCAGTGCCTTTCAGCTGAGCTCCAGCTGATGTGAGGCAGAACCTGTTTCTAAAAAGTACTGGATGAATTTTTAACAATCCGTTGTATTTTATAAGCTCATCAGCTTTTGTGTACAATCTAACTGCAGCTGTCAGATAAATTTACTTGAGTATTTTCATGTTATGCTACGTTGTACATTTACTCCACTACGTTGGAAGTAATGTACTTTTTACTGCACTACATGTACCTGAAAGCTCTTAGCCTGCTAGTTGTTCTGCAGGTTCAGATTTTAAAACATGAAACATGAAATAAAATATGATGGATTTTTAGAGATTACACAACCCAAGAATATGTAAAGTATTTAACTGATCTCCACCACCTGAATCAGCTGCAGCCTTAAAATACAGCTTAGATCTGCACCTTTCAATACTTCTGTACTTTTACTTCAATAAAAATTTTAAATGCAGAATTTTTACTTGTACCTGAGTATGTTTACGCTGTGATGTTACTACATTTAACTAAAAGATCAAAGTACTTCTTCCACCATCAACCAGGTTAAAACTAAGAAAAGGAGCCACAATAAGTAAACAGAAAATATTAACACTCACTACTAGTACTAGTACTTTTAATCTGCTGTTACTATGGGTACTATTAAAAAGACATTACCACTTCCGCCCTGATAATACTTTGTGTGTCAGTGAATGAACGTGATTGTGGTTGTAATGTGATGTTTTGGACAGTAGGTGGCGCTGCTGTTTAAAGAAAGACGTTCAAACTGAGCTTGTGGAGCTTTTGTCTTCCTTCTTTATTAGTACTAATCATGTATTTGTATGTATGTATGCTGGTGTGACTGCTTTCAGTTCCTCCCTGAGGTTTATCTCAATGATCTTCTTTTAGTGTGAGATTATGTTTCTGTAGACTTTAGTTTATTTATATAATTGTATAATCTGCTAATATTCTGGGTCAGACTGGAGAAACTTCACTCATCCTGATATTAACAACTCATCTAACTTGTACTGGTCATGTGATGTAAATCTCCACAGTCTAACTTCTACACAGACTCATAGTTACACTTACTGATAGAGTTTTCTGTCTGACTGAGGAAGATTCAGGTGTTGCAGCAGTTGTTTGTCCTCCAGTAAGCTGTTGATGTTGATGCAGCAACAACAAGCCACACACAGCAGAGAACAAGGAAGGATGTCTGATATGTGATTTAACAACAGATGGAGAGCAGCTTTGTCTTCAGCTGGTAGTTTGAGGTACATACTACATTTATTTGACACTAGTTACTTTTCAGATTCCTATTTTAAAAACTGTGATCAGTGAATAAAATATGAAGCATTAGTTTAGATAAAACTAGCCAACAGTATTAAGAAGCAGTTCAAATGAGCTCCACCTCCACCAACAGCATTAAAGTACCTCCTACATTATAATGATCAATAATAATGATCCAGTAACATAATAACACTGACAGGGACGTCCTGCAGAATGAGTACTTTTACTCTGAGTCACTTCAATCCTTCGGCCGCGCTCCTCAGGTTGCTGGCTGCAGCATTGGGGGCGGGGTAAAGTCCTGCTGGTGGCAGAGAGGGAAAACACACAAGCACAATATCCCATATACACATAAACATAACAGTATTTCCGAGGAGCACATGAATGCACCGTGAGCCACTGGTTGCAATTCGCAAACCTCACCACTAGATGCAACTAAAACTTAACCTTTAAGAGGCACGAAAAAACAAAGGGAGAGCAAGTAAACACAGATACTGCATCCGTGTGTGTCAAACAGTGTGTGTATGTAGGTATTTCTCTATTTACTTCCTGTTCTCTTGTGACTCTTGATAAACTTGTTCTTTGCTACTCGTGTGTTCTGAGCTGTTTCACTTCTCTCCAATGTGATAGAAACTCTTCCCTCAATCTTATCTTATTTGCAAATATATTTAATTTGCAAAACCAACATGTTCTCACTTCCGACTCATCACATACTGACGCTTGGTCAAGGTCCTTTGGCGTCGCCTTTTAACGCCCTGGGAACACCTTTTGCGTCAATTATTGACGTTTAGGGATCTGCGGTGAAGTTAGCAACGCTTAGCAACAACAAACATACAACTTACGGTAAAATGAGCAACAATAAAGATGCAACGTCCGGTTACACTTTCAAAAATAAAACACTAGCGTTTCGCAACATCGACATTTTGATACGCGCGTTATTAGGTGCGTTATTCACTCTGCTTCCTGTGCAGAACAGGTTTCTCCAGAGTTTGGAGTCCTCTCATGCTGTTAGGATGTTTGACACATTCTATTAAAAAGGATGAAAGGAGCTGATGTGATCAGCCATTATTGAAGCAGCAGCAGACTACTCCCTGTTTCATGTGAATGTAGCTGGATTGGAAAATCCAGACTGTCAAGTCAAACTAGAATTGAAATGTGTGATTGTGGTTGTAATGTGATGTTTTGAAATTGAAATGTAGTGGGTCTTAGGGGAAGACAAAATAAATAAAAAATATAGCCGCAAGTGGCGATTTGCGGGTTCATACCTTTTTTCACAATATCGGCATCAAAATAATTTCACACGTGGTTCAACATTGTTATAAAACACATCCTGCAAGTTTCCTGCAAGTTCATTTACTTATGAGGACACATCCTGAGAGATTTGTGTTGATTGGATAAACAATATGCATTTTGTAGCGTGTTTTGCGTTTTATCTCCTGCAGTTTGTTTGCATTTATAGCACCCCCGGGTGTTTGATTTGAATGAAACTATCAGGACATGTTTCATTTACTTATGAGGACACATCCTGAGATGATGATGTGATGATTGGAGAATGAATATAGGATTTATAGTGTAATTTGTGTAATGCTAAGCACCTTTCTTGCGATTGTAGCGCCCCCTAGTGACGTATGTACATCAAACTGTCCAGGTTTATCCGGGGCACCTATCTAAACATATCCTGTGAGTTTTGTGATGATCGGCCCTACGGTTGCTGATTTGTGGTCATTTATGTCCAGAGCCACGCCCCTCTCAAAGTTCATTGGTCCATATCTTGAAAAGTAATTGAGATATCGACATGCTTTATACAACTTTTAATAGGCTTGATCCAATGATGATTCACTGAAGATTTGGTGGCAATCGGAACTACGGTTCTGGAGGAGATGTCAAAAATGAGATTTTCATAAAATTCAAAATGGCGGACAAATTTTATAGGCGGACCTTATTGGTCCCAGAGGCTTTTTTGTAGAGCACATTGAGCTGCACCTGTGTGAGAAATTTCAAGTCAATCGGACTTACGGTGTAAGGGGCGTGGCCTTTCAAAGTTTGCATTTTTACGCCTTAATTATAGCGCCACCATGTGGCCGATTGGGTTCATATTTCTACGCGGTATGAACCCTAATTAAAGCAAAGTAACAAGCGGCCTCTGACGGACTGACTGCAGAGAGGAGATCAAACGGAACCAACCAATGCGCATGACCACACGGAGCGTTTAAAAAGACGCACGGCAGCGTCAGTTTCCGGGACAGCACGTGTGTCATACAAACAAACAGAAACCGCGGAAGAGCGAGACTGTTGGAGAAAATGCTGCGACGGCGGAAAGACTGTGCAGGTGTGAGATGTCCTGAGGTCTGACGTGACGAGATTACTGCTGCTGCCACAGCAGGAGGTTGGTTTGGTCTGAAGCTGTGAAATGTTTTTGTGATTCTGATGTTTAAGTTGAAGCGCGGTTGATTACTGAGATTCTGTGTTGTTGTTATATATGCTGCTGCTTAACGAGCTGAATGTGTTGATGTATGTGTACTAGTTGATCTAGAAGTGTTTCTTTTTGTGGGGTTTATTTAAAGGTTTTTCCACCTAATGGCAAATAACAGACGATGACTTGGACCGATGGGAACAGGAAACAGCTGTTCAGTCATTGAGCGGAATCTCTTTCAAGTGGGGAAACTACACATATTTAAAAGGGGAACTTGACACCGACTGTCTTAAGAGATAACTGCTGTATTTGTGTTTACTCCTACAGGCTGGGTGGCAGAGACATCATGGCTTCACCTGACAGACATGGAGGACGTGAGTAACTGGATTATCTTAAAGAAATGTAAACTGAAGATTGGCTGCTGTGTGTTTCATGGCTCTGGTTAATCCCACAGCAGGTCTCTGGCTTTGTTCTGCATGTTGGGAAAGATGATGTCTTGTTGCTGCCTCACTGCAGGGATGTCTTGAATCTCTGTCCTTGTTGTTTTCGTGAACATTTGATTGTATGGACTCGGGGTTAACTTGGTATCTTTTGGACTTTTAAACATCACGTCCCAAAGTGACATCCGCGTCTCCTTCTCTCCATCCGATGGCTCTGATCTCCCAACAGATCCGTCCACATCAAACCCAAAGCTCTCTGTGTCTGAGGACGACGGAGAGGACCAGCCGTGTCCTGATGATGCAGAGAGACTGAAGCAGCAGCAGCTTCTGTGTGGAGAGGCTCTGAATACAAAGGTCAGTTTTTAACCTTAACATTTTTATTTGGTTCCTTAGTTTTACCACCTCCAGGGTTAAATATTTCTTACCTTCTAAATTCTTCGTTTACACTAGAGAAACTAATTAATTTCTACCTCCTAACCTTTGAAAACCAGGTGTCATCTGTACAAACTGAACCTTAGCATCTTTCATCAGAAACCAAAGGCTGTACCTGCACTCTGATTTCCCCACACCTGTCGCAATGTTTTAAATGGAAAGTGCTTTTAGTTCTGTTCGGTTCTATAGCGAACTCTGGGCGAGTCAGACGGTCTGTGCTGTGTTTAAAACGAAGTTAATAGTTGAATAAGTTAAAAATCTGAGCTTAAAAAGTTAAATTACAGGGGTTCATGCTGGGTGCTGCCCTCTACTGGTCAGTTAATAATTCAGTGAAGCACACTTCAGTTGAACAGACAGACAAGAGAGAGAGTCAGGCGGCCAGTTTCTGCTCCCATCTCAACGTGTTCTGTAACTAATGTTGTGCCTTTTTTTTATTTCAGGAGAAGTTAAGTTTCACACCTGAACTGCTGACCGAGTCTGGAAAGACTTCATACAGGTAACCAAGTCACAACATGCAGAATGCTCCATTCAGTGACTTTAACCTACGCTTCACCTCCTCTCAGCACTTTAACTGAAAGTTGGACCTTTTCAGTAGAGTTTAGCTCAGAAGGCGCCAGCATACTTCAGCAGAACTACTCTTCTGATGGTGGAACAGCTTCACAAACCCCTGGAGGCTCTGTAGGACAATCTCTTTAACTTTCTGAAAGACAATCCCACATGACCCGCCTCACTCAGGGATTGGTCAGCAAACCCAGTTTGGACGGGGCGAGAAAATAGAAAGTTTTGAACTCTTCTCTCTTTATTCATGCTCTGTTATCTTAATATTTGATATCTGATCATCCCTCTCTGTGCTGGACAGCTTTTCCCTCCACCTGCCAGTGTGAACGTTCACAACTACTAGAAACACTTTTTGTTAAATTTACTGATAAATTAGTTATTTTCAAACATACAGCATTTAAGATCAACTGTCATGTCAACTCCTTTCAGTGCTTACTCTTCATTTTCAACACTCACACTCTTCCTCCTCCTGCAGCTGCTGCTTCATTCACATCTTGTCCAGCAATTAAGTTTGGTCTCTAACTTTTTAAAGAATGCAGCACTTTTATTTCAGCAAATTCTTTTTAATTCCTTTACCAGGACAAAAGCTGCATGTGTTTTAGCCCCAATCTGGTCCCTGCTGTAACTAATATTATCAATAATAAAACCTGCCAAAATATGATGCCATAATGAACTGGAGTGCGTATGAGGAGTAACCACAACCATTTACTTGTTAGAAACATGTATATATGTGCATCATTAGCTTCTAAAAGAGTCCAGATGTCCTCGTTTGGGTCTTTTCTAGATTGTCTGAAATGTGTAGACTGGTCATGTTAGTTCTGTGTTTATGGTCCCTGCAGGCTGAGAGCTTGTTGTATGTCCTGCAGGTTCAGGTGTCCTGGTCCAGGTGTGTTCCAGTGTGCTTTGACTGGACTGGTGTTTGTTGTGGCTCAGGAGGCGGAGCTGCTGTACCGGACTGTCCAATGGGATGAGAGCCTCCTCCAATCAGCCGGCAAGACGGCTGCAGGGCTGCTGTTCAGTATCGAGTGTCCTGAGAACGCTGTCTGTCAGCTCCACCTGCCGCACTGTGAAACAAAGGATGGTGAGGACTTAATGTGCTGTGAGTGGAGAGTTTTGTCACAGCGACGATGAAACAACATCCTGATGGTTTACCTGTCCTAACAGTCTGAACAACAGTAGAGCTAAACAGGGGGAGTTTGTCCTGAGGGGGGTGCTAGAATAACTTTGTGACATATCACGTTACCATGACTACGCCAAAACAATTGTGTGTTTGAGACTTTATATTTTCCATTATTTAACTTTCTTCACGGCCGAGACGGTGAAGGGACCGACTACCTGATCTGAACCAGGAGCCACTAGAGGTCACATTCAGATCTATTAAGTCGTTTTTAAACTGCATCTTACATGAAAACTTCTCTTTTCTTGGAGTTGCTCCATCCAGGTTTTATTATTTTTATTTTTTACGCCAGCTTCCCAGATTAACATCATTATGAATTGTGGGTAATTACCTCGGGTAAAGTCTGCAGACATGATGACTTTCTCAAAGTGTGCATAAAAAGCTTGCAATGTTTGCGAGGGGGGGGCCCTCATGCATCTGATGACTTGACAGCGTGACCGCCCGACGCCCTCGCGGACTCACCAGGAACGTGCCTCAAAGTCTTGGACTGTGGTGATTGGGATTCAATTAATATCTTAATACTTTGTATTCCTGTGTTTTGCCTGATGGTGGCACTAGAGGAAAGGCCTCTGGGACCATGAACGACCACAGAAGGGTTGTGGATATGCTGCGAGTCCTTTTGTGGAGGAGCCAGACATGAAATAACTGTGGTTGCTTTGTTTTTCCTAATCCTGTCCCGCCCAGCATCCTGGTATACAGTATGAAGAGCTGAATACCATGCAAGGGTTAGGGCCAACAGGACACATTTTTGGGGAATTATAAGTATAAAGCAAGATGTTTTCCCATGTCACTGGAATCTTTGACGATGGGGACAATGAGAAGATGGAGTGAAGCACTGAGCACAGCAATGATTCAGACTTCAGTATTTTCCTTAGAGCACTTCATGCTAATCGGGCCACAAATATTTTATTTTTAAATTTTTTTTTATTTTTTTTTTTACATTTGTTGAAACAATTTTGTTAAGTGAGAGCAACAAAAAAAAATCAGGAGGTCCCCAAAGTCATCTGGATATATTTTATCAAGGGATCGTGAATTAAAGAAAATTTATATATATTTTTTTAAATCTTCAGTTCTTTTAGCTAGTTCCTCCAATTCATCCCCTCTGGTCCTCACAGAAGACTGGGACAATCCCTCACTGGCTTCCCATCCACCAACGCTGACCGTTCAATAAAAATCTCAACCTGGGCAACAGTTATAGTCTTCAATGTTTGGACTTCCTGGAAGTACAACAGGACTAACATTGTAATGAGGTTGTTTAACGCTCTGTGTTTTCACAGCTCTGCTGCCTGATGGTCTGCTGTCAGTCGTCCACATCACTGATGATGGAATGAGCATCCTCGACCCGCTGGAGATTACAGACACTCATGTGGTTGTCAAAGTCCCTCACCTCTCTGCCTTCGGCCTAGTCTGGGATATCGTTAAGAGGTTGTGGACGACACCAGTTTGCGGCCAAGTTCTGCTGTTCCTCGGACCCCCAAACACAGAAACACAGAGGCAACAACTCAAATTGTTTCTCCTGCCGAGCAACATCCATCTGGACGAGGTAAAGCTTCATCCTACAGCTGTCCGTTCACAGTTTTTCAACAAGTCAGGTGTCCACTGAACACTAACCAGCTGTTCTCCCCATCGGCATCCCATTTTTCCGTGGCTTTAGCCCCGGATGTTTTGACTCTAGACCTGAATGTAACTTATATTAACATACAATAATCCCATGACACACTCGTAGGTCTTCAAAGAGCGGAGGCTACTCGTTGTCAACCGCCTGTCCTGCGTACAGGGTCACGGGGAAGTTGTAATCAATACATTTAAATATAAATGTTGTCAAATACAAATGTAGTAGTGCGAGAATATCGTGACAGACACCTGATGCTCTGTGTCCTGCTGTCTCTGTCCCCCTCGCTCATCAAGTAGGCTACAGTCCCAGACGGGCTCTCTGTCAAGGGTCTAAAGGGGGGTAGCCTCAGGGGTGGACTAGCATTCTGGCCTACCGGGAAAATGCCAAGTGTCCTAGAAATGCAGTTCCTGATACTGCAGCTACATACTACTCGCCGTGGCCCCTGACAGGCAGAGGAGGTGTATTAGCAGAGCAGAGAGCCAGAGTGACGGGGCCGAGTGAGCAGAGAGTGGAGGTGAAGCGGTAAGCATGGAGTAGCTCAGTCTGCAGGGAAGGAGGCTCGTTTACAGTGGGGACATGTAAGCACCACTTTTTGAAAGCATTTATTAAAAATGTTCTGAAAAATATCTTGCACCAAGAAATGTTAAATGACAAATAAAAATGCTATGAGTGAGGTTTACTTGCACAATAAGCCTGCAATGTAGTGTAAATAGAAGAAATATCTCCTACATATAAGTAACTTAAGCTAAAAAAAAGAATAAGCTACTGCATTACATTTTATTATATTTGCCACCTCATTTTTGTCCTTCCCTTCATAAAAAAAAAATAAAGAATTGGTGCAGAAAATGTCTCCAGAATGCAGGAAAATAAGTGTTTAAAGACCGAATTCAGGGGGAGGACCCCCCAAACCCACCTGGTTAATATATCAGTGTTATTAACAGTAGTAATTATAAAAATCATAATAAATACCCAGCTGGAGTGTACCCCACCTTTCACCCGATGTCAGCTGGGATTGGCTGGATTTGGCTTTCATCTTTTGCTCTTTGTTCTTTTTGATCATTTTTCTACTCTGTATTTAAGTGTTTAGCCTGCTGCTGTTAAAATAAATAGGATTTAAACGGTGTTTCTGGTTTAAAAAAAAATCAGTTGTATCTTTTAAATTAATCTTTTACACCCATGCAGAACTTTTATTATATTCAATAACCCACCAACAAAAGTGGCTATTGAAAATGCTGCGTGTGACTTTGGAAATCATTAGCCACATTGTCTAGTGAGCAAAAAAGTCAGGCCCTGGTTACTGTGTAGAGGTCATTTACTGTTGCGTTATAGATGTATTTTGGGTAGGCAGCAACGGGGGGCTGAGGCTGGGCCCCCAATGTTTCAAGAGCCTGGGAACACCCCTGGTTCTTCCTGTAATGATTCCTCCTCTTCATACTGGAGAGAAAGATCCCTTCCTAAAGATACTTTAAGAAGTGATGGGGACAAAATCCACAGTCCTCCTTCTGTGACTGTCGCTCCACTGCAGCTCAACAGGGAAACACAAAGAGGGAATTTATACTAAACAAGTGTCGAGTCGTTAAACACTTATTTTCTGTCCGTTGTCCAACACTAGAGACCCAGTTTTATGTGTTGTATATCCGAAAAAGTGGAACGTTTAATCTTTCGACAAAATTCATCTGCAACTATTGTGAAGAGTCTGAATCTGAAGATTTACTGCTTTTCTTTGTATTTCATTAAATTTTGGACTGTTGGCCGGCATGACAATTTAAGACTCTACCTTTGGCTTGAGGAAAGTGTGATGGGCATTGTTCTGTATTTGCTGACATGTTGGAGATCAAGCGTTTTAACTAATTAATGGAGAAAATATTCAGCAGATTGATCTGTAATAAAAATAGTTAGTTGAAACCACACTGTGCTGATATCTTTGTTACTTTTGGACCTACAAATCTGCTGATACTCGTATGTCTGTAGTGAGAGAAAATTGGCCTTCTTAGAATAAACTCTTGAAATGTTAAAATGTTCTGATGTCTTGGAAGGTGAACAAACGACAGCAACAGCGACATGCTGAGAACATCGAGGTTCCTTCCACATGCATTCTCATCGCAGATGAAAGTTACACTGTCGACTGTCCTCAGGCCATCAAAATCCAGCCTAAGGTGAGTATTTTAAATAAATGCTGCTGACATGATTCATCAAACCTTTGGTTTACTGTGGATGCTGTTCTGACATTTTGGTTTTCAGAATGCACCTTTTAAACTGCAATATGGACCAAATTACCACCCAACGTTTGAGATCCGCCTGCCCACAAACACAGAAGAAGTGACTATAAAGGTCCAAGACCAAAGAAAGTCGGAGGTTTGGGAGCATGCAGTTGATCTGAAAGGTAAAGTCTTCATCCACCTGCACAGGGTGCGAATTATACAGTGACAACCGGGGGGTCAACTGTGTTTCCAGGTCAAAAAGAAACCCAGTACAGCGCAGGCGCGTGCTTAAGTAAACTAAAGTCTTACAATGCTTACATTATCCCTGCTTATTTAACTAATGTGTGCAGTCTGCTGAATCAAATTCATTCCACCAGTTGATGGATGCCCCACACAACAACTACTGTAGTCAGGGCTCACCAAGTATTCTGGAGCAAAACTGGCAGCAAGTCAGACCCACACAATGCTGAACCAGAACCAGAGACACTTTCATAAAATACAGGCTGCATTATCATCTCTAATTCTTATCATTTCAAGTTTTCAAATAACACTTTTTTTTTTTTTTTTTTAGCAAGGATCTTTCATCTTGCTCATGTTGACTGTGAATGCAACGTAGGCCTAATCTGGGTTAAAGAAAGCAGTTGTCATTGGAAATTTTGGGTCTCTGTAAATATTAAACAGAATGTAATGAGAACTTTTTTGTTATGAAACTGAATACATTTGAAATAACAAACCTGGATTTTAACCTTTCCTGAATTCCAGAGTGAAAACAAGTGACTGCTTAGTCTGTTGTTTAAAATACCCACAAGAGACTGAAAATTAAATAATAAACTCCATACTGAAGTCAAAATATCTCTGCGATAACTAACTAATCCTCAGTTTCTCTGCTCATGCCTAAGCACAAGTGTAAGCTGACAATTACACAAAATATGAGATAATAGCTCACATCAGAGGGCTCATTGTAAGTCAAATAAATGCTAATTTCAAAACTCTGAAGGAAAGTTTAATGTTTTAAAGAAGCTAGATGGCTAAGTGACAGCATGTGATGCACTAGACTGGAGCAGCTGCCGCTGCGAGTGATGCAGACGGACAAGACGTTCAACTAACGTCAACGTCAGAAAATGGTATGGTCCATTTTAGGGGTGTCAGAAATGTGATTTCATTATTCTTGAATATAAGGCATGAGAAAAATGGGAAAATGTTGTTTGTCTGTGTGGCCCTGCGATGGACTGGTGACCTGTCCAGGTCCTGGTGACCCCGCCTTTCGCCCGACGTCAGCTGGGATTGGCTCCAGCCCCCTGCGACCCTGTATGCAGGATAAGCGGTTGACGATGGATGGATGGATTCTTATCATTCATTGATTTAAAGTTGTTTTTGACTTTTGCTGTTTCATATAGCTAAAGGCTGCGTGGCCATGTGTTAATGATCCAGTTGTTTATTAAGGCACAAAATTGTTAAGAGTGCAAAGTTCTTCATACATCTAGTCTCTTTATATTTTATGTTCAGTATGTGTGAGAATCAAACACTTGTATTAATTTCTTGGTTATAAAGCTTGAGATCAAGTCTGACCACTTTACTCTTGACTCTAATTTTTAAAATTCGAGTAAAAAAAGAGTATCGAGGTCTAAAGGGAGGTTGTGACTTTGGAATGTGACACAGTGTGAAAGAGAGAAACATCTAAGCTGTAAAGTTTCTGTATCTCAGCTGCAGTTCCTTCCAGAGGACAGTGATCAGTATTACAGGAACAGGGACATGGAAATGTTGTGTCTGAGCTTTGTGCATGTTTGAAAGCTGTGACCATGACAGAAGACAAGTTCTCTGCCATCGAATCAGGTCACTGCAGACATTTAACCAGCCAAACAGAGTAAAACTGAAACTGTTCGTGGTTTGGGTGAACTGACACTTTAAACACTCCAACAGCGTTTTTTACATTTCACCATAGGTGTCACTTACACCGAGCACGCTGGGTACATGTCCGCTCCACTTTCTGAAAGCATTTGTGAAAAAATGCACCAAAAAATGTTAACTAACAAATAAAAATGCTTTAAGAAAGATTTATTTGCACAAAAAGAAAACATGCAATTCCATTTAAATATAAAAGAAACAAATGTGCATAGTCCAAAAACAAAAAGCTGCATTATGTTATATTTATGAATTGTCTCCTGCCAGCTGAATTTTGTTTCTCTTCATATAGTCATTTCCACCATAAATCGGAGCAGAAAATGTCTCAGAACTGCAGGACATTAAGTGTTTATTGCTCCAATAGGACCCCCCCCCCCCGCTTATATATATATTTCAGACATATTTCCTGAAAATAGTGTTAAATATCTTCTCCTCTGGTCCTCGTGCATCATCACACCCCTAATCTGAGCCCTTATGTCCCCACCCCTTTTCATCACAAAGTGACAGAAACTCCACTTCGTTCTCTTCTGTCCCTCCAGTGTCTCTGCTGTTTACTCTCTGGATGTTGATTGAGCTTCAGGATCAGCCTGAGTTTGTTTGCATCAGGCTGCACTTGGAGAATTTGTGTCTAACATTCATTTGAATAATCTGCTTTGCTTTCTGTGTGTTCGCACAGAAAGCAAAGCAGATTTTGAAATTCAAAATTCAGTGTCTGAACCTGTTCTGAACCAGCTGCTGGATCGGCTTTTGCAACGGGGAATAATAAATCAAGAAGAAATGGATTCAGCTAGAACCAAAACCAGGGCTGACGGGGCTGGAGCGGTGATTGACATGGTGCGAAACAAAGGAACAGAAGCCAGTTCAGCTCTGATTGAGGACTTCAGTAGTTTGGATCCACACTGTTCCCAAACTCTGAATCTGAGCTGAAGCAGAACTGAGACTCTGCAAAGCTTAGTTTCCTTTTTATTGGCTTCATCGGAGGGAGAGAATGATTTACTTTGATTAGAGAGGCTGCTCAGTCCTTTTGAACTTTTGCACATGCACAAATTAATGCCACAGCAATTATTGTAGTTATATTCTATTTAGTGTTTCATGTTCAGAGTCCCTGCAGGCTTTTTTTCTTTGGAACAATAAAGTTGAAATGATCAAGAAATGAGCCTTCAATAGAGAAAATTCCAGATTTAAAGAAATGTTGAAGATCCATCTTGTTTAGACACCAGAACACTGAATCAGTCTGATGGAAATCTGGGCTTCCTTTAAAATAATATTTCTCTCATGTTTCTTATCTTTGTGTGTTTCCTCTGGTTCCCCGGCCTTCATCAGTCCTGACAGCATCATGTTCACCAGGGTTTGTCTTCTGGACTCAAGTGTTAACTTGTCTTCTGTTGCTTTTCAGTCAATAAAGTCTTTTGTAGTGATAAATTTAACACAATGGATGTTTTTGGGTGAAATCAGTGACATAAACTGGCGGCTGGTTCTCAGTAAAACCAGACAGCAGCATGTTGATGAACTTCTGTCTGTCAGAAATCTTTAAACAGCAACTTTTCTTTGAGAACTCAGCAAAAGAAAAGCATCTTTCACTTTGACTAGACTTTTGTTTTCAGAGGACTGAGTGCTGCCCTGATACACTCATGTACTTGTACTTGCAGTATGTCCTCCAGGCTGAGTACCCAGAAAGCCTGAAGTGTACTTTGGAGTTTCTTCAGAGAGTCGTGCTGCATGTGAACGGAGAAACACTGAAACCAGAGATCCTTTCCTTAAAAACAGGCTGTAAACTCTGAAAGCAGCTCAACACACACAGATCTGTAGTAAAAAGGTCTGCAGACTGGTGGAAACTGTTTGCAGCTCCAAGTGTTTTCTTGGTAAAAGCGCTTTGTGTGTTCTTAGTGTTGATTAAAGGTTGTACATTTTAAAAGTTTATTAACAGGATGCTAAAGAATGAGACGGCAGCTTTAAGCAGGAATCACAGCCTTTACATTCATCTCCTTCCTTCTTGGTTTCACTTCATTTCTCTGAAGATGAAGCTGCAGAGACTCCAAACACTCGTCAGCTTTATGTTGTTGTCACATTCATGTTGTTGCAGTGACGTGTTGTACAGTAAAGGTTTTAAATACATTTTACATTCACGGGCCTTTATTCAAGAGCTGCTGGGAAACTTCATCCGGAGTCTGGACACACGTTACAGAGTCTCTCTAAAAACACAATCTAAGATTCAAAGCACAAAGTGACTGAGATCATTTCTAAGCAGGCAGAATATTAATGTGAGTAAAAAGCAGCATCCAGGACTCCATTATACTACACTGGCAGGTATTTAAAAGCTGCAGCACAGAGGCTCAGAATACAAGAGCCACACAGAATGACATGAATATTAATGTTGATAGAAATCTGGAGTCAATAATAACATGCTGCTGCTTTATTAGACACTAAGTGAAACATGCAGAATCTAAAATACATACATCACTCTGACATTACTTTCATATATGTAGAGGAGCAGCAGAGCTGGACAAAAATACTGTATTAACATTAGCATTATCAGCTAAATGTACTTAAAGTGTCAAAGTAAAAGTACTCATTATGCAGAACGCCTTCTTTCACAGAGTTATATTATAATAGAATATTATATTACTCTGTGTCACTAACAAATACATGTAAGAGTATTTTAATGCTGCCGTTTCAGCCGTTACATATATATATATATATATATATATATATGTATATATATATATATACATATATACATACATACACACACATATATGGTGGTGGTAATAGGATGTTTAATGAGAGTAATCAGACTATAATAGGTTTATATTACTGCCTTATAAAGGCTAATAAATCCTTCATTATGCATTTACAAACAATCAACATTGTTCCTTTGCAGCAAAAGTGGGAACAGTTATTAAGATGAGTAAATGTTTATAAAATAATTAAAAGAAGGATTTGGAAGTTTTTTTTATTTGATTGTTTACATTTCATAACTTTCAATTAAACACAGAAACAAAAAGAAACTCCTGTTAAACTTCCACTCAAACAGAAGTTTGAAAAATTTCAGTGCTGTAGCACAGGGTGGAGTCAGAGTAGGAATCTTAATAAGACGCTGTTTCCACTTTAGTTCCAGTAGCTGCAAAGGAGTGAGTAATATCAACTTATTAATAAGTGGTCTATAAACTGTTAACAAGATGCTAATAAGTGCACATAAATATCTTGCAAGCCAATAATAAATTTGTTTTATGACATTTCTAACACACATTAAGTCTCATTAATGTTAACACCTAATTAATTAATTATTTATAAAGGTATATATAATGTGTTAACAAGTTTTTAGTGTGAGCTAAGAAATACTAAATGTGTTATATACACATACTACTGGACCCATAAGCTAATATTTGTTGTCCCCCCCCCCACCAAAGCTCGTTATAAGAGGGGGTTGAACATAACCGAAGAGTCCAGGAGTAATGCAAACATAAGTTTATTGAAATAAACATGAAATAAGTTCAAAATTTAACTTAAACAAAACAACAAATCTGATGGGCTGGCCAAAACAAACAAAAGAAAGGGAAGCCCCCCTCTACCCTAAACTAATCCCTAACTAAACAAACAGAAATAAAGCCGCGATAACTAAACTACCAGTCCTATCAGAAATATAAGAACAATAATCAAGGAAATACAAATTAGTCGCAGTCTCGGAGGTGCTGCTGCTGCCATGGCTGGAAGGTGGACCAGAGCGAGAGCCAAGCGCCAAGCGCCAAGCGCCAAGCCCCCTCTTATCAGTTTCTCCCCTCGTCACCCAAACCTAAGACACCTGAGGGAAAAAACAGACACATGAGTCACCGTCATCCAGAATTGTGTAGTTCGATAACTTCCCTTGGGTCAAGGCTACAGAAAACAAACTATCACCAAAATCAGAAGTGGTCAGTTCACCTGAGACTACACCCGTCACCGAACACACAGGATGTGCACCAGCGTCAATACTGGACACCTCCCCAATAATCACAGCACCCTCCCCTGCACCAGAACTGGACCCCACGTCCGGCTGCATCTGTTGCCCGTCACAGTAAGACTTCAGCATATTAACATGACAGACGAGATCTACGGCAGCGATCAGGAGTGGCTATCAGGTAGTCTCTATCGCCAACCTTCTTCTGAACCACATAAGGCCCACTGTAGCGAGCCTGCAAACTAGACCCAGGAACCGGCAACACTAAAACCTTATCCCCAGGCAGAAATTCTCTATTTTGAGCACATTTATCAAACCACACCTTCATCCTGCCCTGCTTCAAGATGATCCCCAGCTATCTCACAAGCTCTGCGTAATTTAAATCTGAAGTTACTCACATAGTCCAACAAGTTTTGTTCTGTCCCCTCTTACAGCCACTTCTCTTTAAATAACTTCAATGGCCCACGCACAGTATGGGCAAATACTAACTCCGATGGACTAAACCTCAAAGATTCCTGAACCACCTCCCTTACAGCAAACATCTGCATGTGAACTCCTTCATCCCAATCTTTCTTGAACTCCAGGCAGTAAGTACACAACATGGTTTTTTAATGTCTGGTGAAAACGCTCAAGTGCGCCCTGACTCTCCGGATGGTATGCACTAGAGTGACAGTGTTTAATATTTAACTGCTTCAGCACCTGAGCAAACACACGCGACAAAGTTTGAACCCTGATCTGTTTGTACAACCTTCGGCAAAGCAAACAATGAAAAAAACTTTGTCAAAGCCTTTAAAACCGCTGGAGTTGAGATCTTCCGTAAAGGGAAGACTTCTGGAAATGGAGTGGACGCACACATCACAGTCAACAAAAACTTATTACCAGTTTTTGTACGAGGCAGGGGGCCCACACAGTCAACCAGAACCCGTTCAAATGACTCACATACCACCGGAATCGGATATAGTGGAGCAGGAGGGACGGTCTGGTTTGGTTTCCCAACTACCTGACATAGATGACAAGACTTACAATAACGTGAAACATCCCTCTTTAACCCAGGCCAAAAGAAATGGCGCAAAATATGATTATACGTTTTCTTAGTACCCAAGTGACCAGCAAGAGGACTATCATGAGCCAGCTTCAAAATCTCTGCTCGATATGCTCATGGAACTACAATTTGGGTTACAGCCCTCCAGTCATCTGCAGCAGATGCACTGCGCATCAATCAACTGTTCACGAGATAAGGATAAACGCTCAGCCTCAGGAAAGCTCTGCCCTTGTGGCGTTACTCTCAGCCCTCACTGGAGAAAATGAGTGAGCATTATCTGGATTAAAAAGAAAACTTTCACTCTTCATCCTGTTTACACAGATCGAGTAAAAGCACATGCAGTAAAAACCTTGGGAAACTTGTGAGCAAGCTCATCAGGAACCTGTCTAACAGGAATCGGCGTCACTTCAGGTTTAACCAACACCTTTCCACCAACAAATCATTCCCCATCAAAAAGGCAATCCCTTTTATAGGGAAACCAGGACGCACCCCCACAGACACCTCTCCTGACACAAGGTCAGACTCCACACAGACCCTATGCAGAGGCACATCAATGTCTTCCATACAAAAACCCAACACAGGAACGTCAGAACCCACAGCAGACTCATTACCGAATGGCAAAACTTTACCGGCACTTTAAGTTTGTTACCAGGCAACGAGACAACACCATCCATAACAAATGGAGTAAATACAGTCAGGTCAATAGACATGTCTTTAGACAACACAGGTTCATTTAAATTTTTATCAAGTTTGTTTACTAAAGCTACAGGCTTCACACTTTCCTTTTTCAACACAGGACAGCCTGCCACAATATGTCCTCCTTTTTTTTTTTTTTTTACAATAAAAGCACATGATGTCTTTTACCTTCAAATCATCCTCAGCCTCAACATCAACCTCCAAGGGACCAACATTTCTGCCCCCCTCAACAACTTCACTGTGCCTATCCTTCCCAGTAGGAATCAGCTGACCAACATTCCAAAAAGGACGATCCACAAAGACATTCTTAATAAATAATAAATAATTGTCAACATCCTTTTCATTAAACGGAGGAACTAAGCGAATGTTTCTGCTTACATCAAAGTTTGAAGATCTAGACGAAACTTGAGAAGCAACACCAAGCTCCAATTCACGCATGCGGAGATCAAGCTTCTTCATTTCGAGATCACTCAAATAGTTAAGTTCCTTATCCTTTAAC